TAAAATTATCCAGTATCCTACATGTCCTAATGATGCAGGTTTAGCGATAGTCAAAACGTAATAATTGTAATGCACTAAATCTAATATGTATATGGTTTTGTGATATCGTTCGCATCATTTTCTATCTGTCATAGCAAGTATTATTCATGTTACGCATCCTCAGAATACAATCTTGTGGCTATCCTTGAAGCTATGTTGCCTTGTTCATCGGTAATGCGGTTTTAAGCTATTATCAATCCTACTAGGCAACTGGTAGTGATACGAACTTTTCATAGACTATTTGCTATTAAACTTTGTGAACCCGCCGAGATAACGCAATACCAAATCCTTTTGATATTACAACTAAAAATATCGAAACCATCTTATATTTACAACTAAAATTACCCTATTGATGTTTTCAGGGAGTGTGGTGTAGTGGATATGAGCATTGTTAAATTAAGTATTACTGTCATTCTGTGGTCGTGAGTTCAAACCCAGGAAAAGTTAGGGAAACTATATACTCTGATTTGGCAAGGATGAACAAGAACCGACTTCACAATAAATAGCATTGTAATCAGCGCATAAAATATCTCATAGCCAAAGATAATGGCGACCTGAATATGGCCAGAAGATACTGGATCGGAACATCATGTCTATCATGACATCTATAACGATCAAAGATGATAAAAAAAACAGAACAATTCGAACAGGACAAAGTATATTGTTAAAACTTAGTCGCTATTGCCACCGTTGTACTGTACGAAAATGTCTGCCCAAAGTTGTGAAGGCATACACAGTTAAGACTGTAACAAAAACTAATTATTATTCATGCATAATACGCACGTTTATTGTTCCGAAATAAGCATTTAATTTTTTTTTTTTTGATTGTGCAATAAAATATCAAAGGGTTCAGGCAGGTGTTTAACAAGAATATAAAAAGAGGCGACCGTAGCCATTTTTTTCTCTTTAGTGTAGCGTCTTACAAACGTTTACCCCGAGTGAGTACTCCTTTCGAATGTACGAAAAATACATTTTGGACACCAAGACACAAATTATTCAGACATTTTCTTTTCAAACCTTAAATAAAAATAAGTTTTTAACGGGTATACTCAGAATACATTTTGAAGACGAAGAAGCAAATTATTCAGACATATTCTTTTCAAACCTTAAATAACAATAAGTTTTTAACGGGTATACTCAGAATACATTTTGAAGACGAAGAAGCAAATTATTCAGACATTTTCTTTTCAAACCTTAAATAACAATAAGTTTTTAACGGGTCAAAAATACATTTTAAATAACAATAAGTTTTTAACGACATTTTCTTTTCAAACCTAAATAACAATACATTTTGAACGGGACGAATACATTTTGAAGACGAAAATTTATTCAGACATTTTTTTTTTCAAACCTTAAATAACAATAAGTTTTTAACGGGTATACTCAGAATACATTTTGAAGACGAAGAAGCAAATTATTCAGACATGTTCATTTTAAAGCTCAATGTACAAACAATTTTCAGGAATAACTTCACTGATACTAACAGAAAACAATTGAATCTTTCTTTCTCCGGCTATTGTGTAACATATCGAAATATTTTTAAGAGTCTTAAAAGTTTAAATGTTTTCTTAATAAGAGTTTTAAATCATTTCATTTTGATTATTTATTTTTTATTAAACACTATTAATCATTGCTCTTTTCAACCTTTATCTCTTTATTATCTGTCAATTACTTTCTTGGGAAAGAGACTGGAATGGTTACATTCTTCACGGTCTTGAATTTGGCTTAATGCTTCGACACTGGTCACCATTTTTTTAACGCGGTGTCACTTCAGAATGGAAAGGGACATATATCTCCACAGACACCTTTTAATAGTGGAATGATATCCCGTTGGGTTTTCCACAGTTTTAAACTCAGTGTGGTCGTTCCGCTAGGCTGGTTGTCATCCAAAGCTCGAGAGCACATTCTAATATACGATTTGACAAACAGTTGGTAGGGGAGGAGAGATAAGACTTATACATTTTCCAAGCATTTAATCATTCCGTACCAAAACCCAAACGTATCTTCCAACAGTAAACAATAATCCAGTTTTAGCTACCGATGCCAACGTACTGATGATGATGTAGGATATACAGGGGAACACATGTATTCATAGTTGGGATAAGAAAGATCTACAACAGAAAATCGACATCCTCTATCAAGTATTCCATGGACACAAGATAAACCTTTTCAGAACAGAAACTATAATCTGGAATTGGAATGAAAACAGCGATGGCAGCTAATCTGAATCCACCATACAAATTAAAGATGTAGAATTAGTAAAATACCAAACACTTCAGATACTTCGGTGCATTGATTAGTTATAACCAATTTAGTATAGGGTATAAGGAAACTGAACATAGAATAGGCTGCGCTAGGAGTAGTTTCATCCAAGACCACAAATTGCTACAAAATCAAAATCAATTTTGAGTTCTTCTGTAGTTTATTGATGCCTATCACATCTACTCTTCCCTAGCTATTGTGATGATGGCTAAACCAAGAGTCCTCCGTAGGAGTTAGATTAAATGCCTCCCGGTAGGGTGGCTTTTATGCTTGTGTGGAATAAGAATGACAATTGGAAAAAAAATCTTAGTTTTTTTGCCAACGCGTTTCGTCTTCCGACTTTATCAAGGCAAACAATGAAAGCGAATCTAAAAAGACAACAAAACATTTCGCCCTCAATGTTGCCTTGATAAAATCGGAAGACGAAACGCATCGGTAAAAAAAAAAACTAAGATTTTTTCCAGTTGCCATTCTTATACCAATTTGTCTTCTCCACAGAATTATTCTGGGAAATGTTACTACACACACACACACACACACACACATATATATATATATTTATTAAAAACATTTTTATGTTTAACGTTGTTATTTATAGATACAAGTATTTAAGCAAATGCTCTGTTTATGATAAACAGTATTAAATAACATTTACCGGCCTGAATGTCCGAGAAATTTTCATAGAAAATATTCGTTATTTGACAGGATTTGAACCTGCATCCTATACGGAACCGTCAATCTTCCATGAATCTCGTACATTCATAACTGTAGAACCTGTAGATTCGAGGCCGGTAAATGTTATTTAATACTGTTTATCATAAACAGAGCATTTGCTTAAATACTTGTATCTATAAATAACAACGTTAAACATAAAAATGTCTTTAATAAATAAATTGTCGGACCTTGTCCATTTCTTAATATATGACGTCATTTGTTTACATTTGATACGCCAGAGCAGTTATGAATGTACGAGATTCATGGAAGATTGAAGTTTATAAGCAGTAAATTCGACCTTGTCTACCGAAAGGTTCTTTGTGGCCGAGACGGTTAAGGCACGTCAGCGTAAATGACGGTTCCGTATAGGATGCAGGTTCGAATCCTGTCAAAGAACGAATATTTTCTATGAAAATTTCTCGGACATTCAGGCCGGTAAATGTTACTTAATACTGTTTATCATAAACAGAGCATTTGCTTAAATACTTGTATCTATAAATAACAACGTTATATATAGGAATGGGTAGAAAAATGTACATATATGCACAAATACTTTCACGTACGTAAGTATATTTATTTCTCAAGTGTTATAAATACAGTTTCCAGTGTTATGAAACAGAACTATAAGTATATATTAGTGAATATACATAATATCCAATGTTGATAATACTATTCGGAGTTTTATTTGTTATCGACATTGGATATTAATGTTAATTATTTAAGTTGTGTTAGTGTTAATTATTTAAGTAGTGTTATCGACATTGGATACTATGTATATTCACTGATATATATATATATGTGTGTTTTGGCAGCCAGAATCCAATCAAACAACTTTTGTTAAATCCAACCGAAAAGTTTAAATGTTTTTTTTATTGTATTTTCCTTATTTTTGAAGAAGACGTATATCGGAATAAAAATTGTGGATAAACTGAACCAAGTCTATGTGTTTTTTTCTGTTTGTTTTTGTTTTTTGATTTTTTTGTTTTTTCGAGTAATTTCGGTCGCTTCAGTCATTATCAAAAAGTGGGCATTCTCAGTATGATAGACAAGATTTTCTTGACTATAGCCTGAAATTTGTTAGGGGAACACGTATACTTGAATTCTGAAAAAAAGAGATGTAGCCAACAAACTCTTGCTTAATATGATAGCATTCGGTTCTTAACTAAGTCTGTCGAAATAAAAATAAAAAAAATTAACAATTTATCCACAAGTTTGTTTCTGAAGTACATTTTATTCAAAACTTGGAAAATACAATGGAAAATTAAACAGACTTCTTAAGTTCGATTTAGTAAAATATTTTCTATACATACATTTGATACGTATTTAAAGATTCATGATAAAATCCAAAGAAGAATCTGCACTGTTATTGGTCCTGATCTGGCATCTCGGCTTCAGTCATTTTCCCAATGTTGTAATGTAGCTTCTCTGTACCTTTTTCTAGAAATATTTTCATCGAAATTGTTCTGACGAGCTCTCCTCTTTGGTACCTCAACTTTAAGAATTTAAGCACGATACTAGATTGGCAGTTAGGTTTCATCAGCTTACAGTAGAAATGACTATTTGTAATCGTCTATACTAACAGTATCTACACTCGCACTTCTCACTTGTGGAACTCTCCTCCTGCTTCTTACTTTCTAGTCATCTTTGACCTCCAAAAATTAAAAAGAAATGTCAATCGTTTTCGTCTGTCTCCGTAATTCTTGTTCTTTTAATGTTCTCTCGCGTTAATAATGTTTTTCTTTTATCATAGTCTCTTACATTAAGTAACCTTTTGCGTCTTAGTGGTCTATTGCCTTGCTTGGGGTGAAATGATTAATATATATATATATATATATAAGATGGAGAGATAGAGAGAGATTGAGAAAGAAAGAGAGAGAGAATATAAATGCATCTGCATGGAGTTGAAGTTCATTTACGTGTCACGTTAGTTGTCCTGAACAGGACACGTTCACCATATAAGTGGACACCCTCTGCCACATATTCAG